TCTCATTCCAAATAAGTAGCTTAGAAGCTTTCTGTAATCTTTATCAAATTCCTAATCAGTTATTTAAAATGTCTGACATGCTCAAACACAGGTAAAGGGCTATGCATTTTCAGCCTCAAGAATAATCTAAGAGGCTGGTCTCAAAGAGATGCATAATATCTCTGTCTTCTACCATTTATTATGAATTTAAGGCCACCTTCCTCTGTGGGCCTCACTTTAATTTTCTGAGAGATGGGGATGTTAAGAATAAGGTCATTGTGAAGTGTAAATGCATTACATGTAAGATACTTAGGATGACATTTACTAATATTAGTTACCTCTGCTCATCTTCTAAGCAGATTCCCATGCTCCATTGAAATAATGGAGCTGCTAATGAAAATAATTAAAATAATGACTAATACTCAGAGATAGATTTGCCACGAATATAATGAAGCTCAGTCTTCAGGATCTGGGCCTTATATAGATCTCTTAAGGGCATGTACTTTTTGGTAATATTTTCAGAAGTAGTATAATAATTGCAATCAGTTGAGATCATTGTTTCTTTCCTGTATGAATTTTTATTTTATCATACTTTCCTTATATCATGACTGGGGATTGGCCACAGGCATTACTGGGATTTAATTAAGGGGAAATTGAATTGGGGATACATGTAGTTTAAGTTTACTAGAAGTTAGTTAAATGGTTCATGGTACCTTTGGTTTACAACTAAATAATTGCTAACTGTCCTTCTTATGAATAGATTTCAAAGAATTCTGTTATTGTTCTCCGTGCAAAACTACCAGGGCATTCTGACAATCCAGAAATTATACTGAAATGTGAATTTGTTCTACAGCTGTTGGAACCAAAAAAATGTATGTGAGAGAGGAGATTCAAACTGAAATATGTGAAGCTGGAACTATCTGGTGACAAATCTTTTAATCATAGAGCATAAAATCATATGGATTTTATGTCTTACCAATTCCTGACTTACCAATTCCTTGTTAAAATATCAACACTTAATAACAGAAATATGTATTTCAATCAATTATATTTCTATTTTTCATAGAGAATATGACAGAGTACCTTTGATATGAATGGGCAATTAAGGAGAATGTAGTAAAAACATAGACAACTATGTTTGTGTTTTAGGCAATTAATTAACACAATATTTTTCTAGGTATGTATGGTATTTGCCAGCTTCTTAAATTCTTTAGTTCTTTGTGACCATAGTTTTTCCTACATTCTATACAAATTACAGAGATATTTGTAAATTTTATTCTTTTAATTTTTAATATATTCCTCCAAATTTCATAAAATTTTGGCTCAAAAAACTCTGATTCACTCAGTTTAACAGGATGAGTGCTTTTATGATTTTCATGTGTCAAGTGTTTGATTCTGCTTTTTGTGGTGCTTGTGAGTCTTCTGCATGCTGGGCAAGTGTCTAAACTGAACCACAGCTCTGAACTTAGTGCCAAATGTTTTAAAGAACCATGCAGGTAAACATCACATTTTACAAATGTACCTGGTAAAACAATTTAATGTAGAAAACTGGATTCTTAGGCCTTTCTCTGAACAGGTCAATATTATAATTTTTAATTTCCTGAATCCCTTCTCCTTCCTGCCATCTAGCCTTACCTCACCTCTTTTTCCTCTCTTTTAGCATTACTGTGATTTTTTAAAAAAAATCTCTATGTGACATTCTGTTTTCTTTCCTTTCACATTTTGTTTCTCTTGCCATCTGCTACTTTGAAGAATTATTTATAACTTAATCCCCTTAATTTAAATCTCTGATCCCTGTGTTAAGCACTCCTTTATTTCCCACTTCTTCAGTTATCAACCTTCATAAGACACCAAAATAATCTGAGCAGATTTTAAAACTTCTCAATACCCAGGTGACATCCCAGAGTAATTAAATCAGAATCTCTGATGGCAGGCGGGAGGCGTCAATATGCTGAAGGATGAACCCAGTGGTCAGGCAAGTGGGAGAACCAGTAGCTTAGTCAAACTATGTATGTTTCTGATTTAGGATGAAAATAGAGAATGGTTCCCTGAAAGAAAAGAAAAGCATCCAGAAAGGAAAACGTTTGCAGAGCACAGAATCCAGGGGACTCCAAAAGAGTGACCTTTGCTTTTTAATAGCAACTGGGGAAAATAAAGGTAGAAATGTGAATGGGAACCTTTAACTTTACCAGCTATATGGGTCAGATTAGCAATGAAATACTGCGCAATCTTATTTAGAACATGGGTAAAATATGTACCCTACAACATGTTGTGAAATTAGAAATAACAAAAGTAAACGACTTTTGATTAAAATTGATATTTAATATTGCTGTAATTAATTATAAAGGCTCATAGTATACAGTTATGGCTTCAATGCAGTTGTAATCCTTAACAGTAGTGTAATAATCTTTAATGATAGAATTCTGTGATCTCTCTGTCAAGAACTTCTGCTTTGTTCACTGCTGTAATCACATTCTTAACAAATTGCCAGGTATGGACTATCACTTAAAGACATTATTGACTGGATAAATGTGTCCTATAGCTTCATCTCATTATTTTAAAATAAAGTACGAACCCAGATTATTTTTCTAGTACTAAGTATCAGTAACAAGAGTAGTTTACTCTGTGTCAGATCATATTCCA